GAAGGATACTTGGGAATTTTCAGCAAGTAATAATAGATTAGTTTCATTTTTCTGTTTAACTTAAATCTGACTATGAAAAACCCAAAATTTAAGTATTCTGGTATTTTAAATAAGGAAAATATGAATAAGAGTTATAAGGTTCTATTAGCAAGACAGCCTAAATCTTTAATGTCCCAATTTTACTGCATATTCACTCACATTCTTATTGAAGAATACTGTCCCATAAAACAAAATTTAATCTATCTACGGTATTTATTAGATATATTAATAACCTGATGTTAATATGCTTCTTTATTTTATAAGGCTGAGCTAACCGAGCTTTTGTTTAGTTAGATAGAATCCTGAAGTGAAAGAATAAAAGTATTTCTCAAAAAGCTGTAACTTATTCTTTTCAAGATTCCAGCAATAAAATTCTTTAAATACAGCATGAGGTAATGGTTGAGGTCATTATTATGTTAGAACAAGGAAGTGTGTATATATGAAGAAATGCGGGTTTAAAATACGCTAAATTAAAAGTTTTTATTTTCTCTCATCTCACGAGAACATTGATATTTGCTATAATTTGTTACTTTTTGAATATTTTTCTCTCAGAGCATAGGAAAAGCATTTTTTTAATCAATCTGAAAATTAGAGGAACAGTATGGGAGTGTCTATTTCTGAGCTAGGAGCTCAGTGAGCTATGCTCACTCTTTTACAAAAAAGGTCAAAATGCAAAACTCCTCCCCCTTCCATCAGTGTGTCCCACCCCACTTCATTTAAATTAAGTGAAAAAAGTGTACAAGGTTTATTTCAGCAGGCTAAAGCAATAGAAAAATCTGATCATGTAGAGATTATTATTGAGCAAGGATTTACAGTCTTTGGCTATTCCATTCACTCATCTTTCCTCATTGGCCACAAGAGTACCATTTAGTAAATTACTAATTCTGCACATTACTTGGTACTCTACAGTGCTTGACATTCATTTATCAAATTTATTATCAAATCTTAAATTTACATGCGAGAACTAAGTTATTCATTGGCACCTCTATCCCTACATAAAGATTATTGTTTATTATTTCATGTTTATGGAAATTTCAAATATCCAAATTTTGATGTTATGACTGTAGTCAAGTTTTTAAGGTCAGCATTAATATTATCAGTGATACGGTACCCAACTCCTTAGAATGGGCATGGGAGAAAATAGATTGGTTTCTAAATTACCCATCGGATGATTGCTGTATTTATATATCAAACATGTCTCTAGAACTTTTTAAGAAATATTAATTAAAAAATATGAGTTATGCCTATGTAGAATTTCTTATGCCCGTTTCTAGTACTACAAAATAAAACCATCTTGGTTTTCAAAGCTTATTAAAATTAATATATGAAGCAAAATGAAAAAAACAAAAACAAATCTATGTCTTTTTCATTCAGAAAAAGGGAATCAGTTCCAGAAGGTAGGAGGCACCATTTATGTACAGATGACATATTTATTGACTGTTTGCCTGATTGGTTCAAATTATGTATCTGGAGCAGGTCGGGAACATGATACTGAATGAACAGGCTTCCTGCAATTCTCTGTCGATGAGGCTGAGCCACTACCTGAGTGTCAGTCTATGCCAGCTCCACTTTTCCTTGCTGAATCTTATTGAGGCTTGTTTTAATGATGCTTTGGGGGGTACCAGAACTTAATTTTCTATGTTAATGTGACATGCAGCTGTATATGTTATAGAGCTCCAGAGATGCCCATAGTCAAAAATAACTCCTTTCTATTGCCCTCCTGACTCTCACCCTTGGTAATAAAATGTTAACCGCTCTTCACCAACGTATTCCCAAATCATTTTTTAGATGAGATCTAGTTTGATTTCCATTTTCATATGAGGAATTTGCATGCAATTTAAATATCCATGAGGCTTATTTAATGATAAAAACTATTTGAGGATACAATTTTGAAAGCTTATTTTTTTTTTGAAGGTGAGAGAGTTTAAGGTGGATGTTTGTTTTCTAATGTAAACTGTAAGAACATGTATAGCTTTTAGGTCTCTGTAGAATTCCTCTAACAGACTTTTTTTTTTTTGTCAGTATTATTTAAATGACATAAATCTCAGGATAATTTTACACAATTGTACTTAGAACATTGTTAAAAAGAAATATTAATAACTTCTCTCTAGAGGAACATATAGGAAAGAATACAAAAATAATGTAATATTTAGCAAAATCATGAACAAGACAAAGTATTAAAATAACTTAAATCTTAGCTTAAATAGACCAAGTACAATTTCAGTATGATTTCATGTATTTGTTTTTTCTCTCCATTTCACCGCAGTGGTGTGATTTGAGATGTCTTAAGGGCCCTTGAATAACTAACACATCTAAGTATTATAAATAAAATTTGAAAAGCTGCCAAATCCCTATTGTGTGTTTTTCCTCACCCAAGAACACTATGTACATGTGCACTATGTACATATATTAATTTACGTTTACTCAAAATTTATTAGCCGTATTTTACTAAAAAATTACCAGTTACTTAACATGATAAATATAACTATGTTTTTTTCCAAAAATTTTGTTCCAACACAGAACATAAAGATGTGCTGTATTGACCATTTTTTGTAATATATATGTCATTACACACTAGAAAATGACAGAATAAAATATGTTTTATTTTTATATTAAAATATACAGATATTTTGAAATATTCTAGAGCTGTGGTCCCCAACCCATGGGCTACAGACCAGTACTGTCCACAGCCTACTAGGAACTGGGCTGCACAATAGGAGATGAGTGGCAAGAAGTGTGTGAGAGAAGCTTCATCTGTATTTCCTACTGCTCCTCATTGCTTGCTATATCCCCCAAGTCCGTGGAATAATTGTCTTCCATGAAACCAGTCCCTAGTGCCAAAAAGGGTTGGGGGCCAGTGTCCTAGAATATGTAACCAAGGAACAGTCTCTGTTTGTACATGTCTAATAGACACTCATTTACATCGCACAGTAGAAAATTTCATAAAGAAAATAATTGTGTCACTCTATTATTTTGGCTGTTTTTTCTTAATTAAAAATAAACGGAATTTTTATTTTGAATAAATTCAATATTATGGTGGGAGCTTATGAATAGTAAAAGCACTTCCTTAGAGTTTCACTGAAAATAATTTAAATATTGTCATTTTAGCCAGTTGTTTAATGTTATATAGATAATCATCAACTCAGTATTCATTGGCATATTTCCTTTCCGAATAATTGTCATTGTGTAGACACAATCAAAATATCATTCACTCGTTCATTTATTCATTCATCAATGTGGCAAATATTTTCAGGGACAACTCTGGGTCAGGGGCTAGATGACTGCAGGAATTTATAGATAAATGTAAGCTGCTGCCATTCAAGAAACTGACAAATAGTAAGGAAGACAAAAAAACATATTTAAATGAGCATGTTGCACTGCAGAGTGGAAACCACACCATGAGAGGGATACAAAAAGCTATTGAGCTCTGAGGGAAAACAATTTTGAGTATCAGGGAATAAAAGTGAAGAAGGCAAAATTGAACTGGACTTTGATAGTTGGAAATTGTTAAGGAGAACATCATTGGTGAATGAACCAATATGAGCAAATATGTAGAAACATGGAAAAATATCTTGGAGATTTTAGGAAAAAGTTTAGTGCAACAGAAGTTGAACAGTTGGAGTTGATTCAGGAAATATGTGTCAGGGCGACATTTAAAAGTCTCAACCTTATTTTATTGACCATTTTACAGTACATAGCTATAGAAAAGCAATAGAAAAGTATCTAATATACAGTAATTTGTCTACAGCCATGCCTGGCATAGTGTAGAAAAGGAGTTATAGATGGAGGAGCATAACTTTGTAGGCACTTATAGTAATCCAGATGAAAAATAACAAGGCTTTAATTGAGAAAGTGGTAGAGCTAATGAAAAGGAAGAGATGGATTGTGAGACATTTACATTGCCTAATGCTTAGGATTTGGCAACTGATTTGTTGTGAATGTCACAAGAATAAAACTCTCATCTTAAGGGACTACGGCACATGGTGGTGTCATTAATAGGAAAACAAGAAGGCAGATCATGGTTGAAGTCAAGAAAAATACACTGATTTCATTTTTTAAGGTCTTTTGAGCTTGAATGTCACTTGAGTAGCTCTATAAAATAAATTTACCAGCAATAAGAATATAAATCTCAAAGAAATTAAATCAGAGGGAAAGAGATATGAATTAAATTGACAGAATGGATGGATTGAGAGGACAGAACCAAAGGAGTTCATGCAGAGGAGGACCTATGAAAACGTCCATACATAAATGTAGGAGGCACAAAATGCACAAGAAAAGTAGTTAGGGATTTCAGGCCATCAGGAATAATTACAAACTAAGAAAAAGTCATTGGACTTAGAGGTTAAGATGTCATTTGTGAACCTCATAAGGACAGGTTTTTCATCAGTAATAAGAGCAATATGCAAAGACTTGCAAATCCATGGGTAGTTGAGAGAAAGAAGGGAGATGAAGATTGAAAAGTGGATCTGAGAGGCATTGCAGGCTGAATTTCACAGTGATGAGTGGATGTGAGTGGAAAACAAGCAGAAGAGCAATTAAAGACTCCAAAACAAGCAAACAAAAAACCCCAATTGGGTAGGGTGCTGAAGGTGGGAGACTAGTGTATCAGAGGAACATTTTTGGCAATTCATCCTTAGAGTGGCAGTGGGCTCTGAGCTGGCCAAGAGGTAAAAAAAGGAAGAATGGAGCAGAACAATGTCTGGTGCATGGTTTATGGCAAAGGGAGATTAGAAATAGGTTTGGATGGCTTCACACTTCTCAATGAAATCTAGGCAGGATTATTTGCTGAGTGTGAGGAATACTGGCGAGGGAAATAGGTTTTATTCAAAAGGAATACTGAAGTTGTTTCAAACTACTAGTATGAAAATCATTTGGTGTTTTCGATGTGGATTTGTGCTCTGAGCTCGATGTGCATTGATCAACCATTTGCAGATTGGCTGATGAGACTTACTTTGTTCCAGGCGGTGTGGCTACAGCAAAGCAAAGCAAGAATCCAGAAGAGGAAAGAGCATTTCATAATGGCACAGTGAAGCAATGTATAAAAAATAAAAACAAAAGGAGAGCTTTTATTGTTGTTTGCTATTTTTAAGAGTAGAGGATCTATAATAACCAACCAAAAATATTGTATTGAAAAAAGTGTTCTGTTAACATTCCTGTAAAGCAACACGGGCTTGGACATTGCTGGCTGCTCTAGACAACAGCTGGATGGTTCCATTCAATTCTTAAGGCTATATAAATGAATAATATTAAATAAATTTGCTTAATATAAAATCTATTGATTTCAAATAAAATTCCTGTGCTAATTTAAGCCTGGCAACACAATGAGTAGAAATCTATTATTAAATAATATCGCCAGTTAAATGATAAAAATTTCTCAGTTTTTTCTTCTAGCATTAATAGTCAGTGAAATTTACCTGAGCAATTTTTGTAGCAAGACCTTGTTCCAATGAGCTGACAGATATACACTTTTAGAAATACAGAAAAGAAGATTTTAAAGAGCTTTAAAAAATACCTTAAATGAATTCAATTATGGTATTTTAATATGTTTATTTTTCCATAAATAACTACAGTGTGAATTAATTTGCACTAAATGACAAAAAGTTTATTTGTTGTTATCCTTTGCCAGAGTAAAAAATTAAATTCATAGCTCATGCTGAAAAGCATTGGGTCCATCTATTTAATACTCCTATCTATTTAATGGTATTTAATCTAAAAATAAGCACTAAGAGGTGATATTTTTATTGGTAGCCTTAAAGGTGATAAAACTGAGACTCCTAGAACATAGGAGTCTTGTATAATGTCATTTATAGCATGAGAATTAGAAATTCTTTTTTCCTTCGATTTCTAGTCAGCCTTATTGCACCATATCACCAGAAAAGTATTTTAAATTATTTTTGTTAATATTAAAATTTAATTATGATGATATTTTAGGTGAAACACAGGATAACAAACCAGCAAATGAACTAGTGGTATCATTGTATAGTTTTAAAAGTGTCTTAATTCCCTACAGACTAACTATCTGCATATTATCATTGCAAGATGTATCTACCTCCAATATGTCTAGCATACACATTTCTTGTGCGTGCCAACAATTCAGACTTATTAACATAAAAGTGATATTGCTGTGCATATGATCTCTTAAACTCAGAGAGGGCTGCCTTGTAGCTCAGCTACCCAAGGAATTAAAGATTTAAGCCATACTAGCATCTTAATAGAGTTTATAAATTTATTCATCTATTGTAACCACTTCTATTTTAATGCCCATTTTATTTTTGCAGTTAAACTGCCGGGAGTAAAGACTTATATTGATCCACATACCTATGAGGATCCCAATCAAGCTGTCCAAATAGAACAACAAGAAAAACAAGAAGCTTCTGCTCACCTTGAAGGTCTTGGAGCAGGTGCACACGCGTTTCCTCCACCTTTTTACTTTGTTTGTACTCATAGAATGTAAAATGTCAAGTCCTGATCTAGCACAGAATGTTTTTAACCTTTTGTAATTGGCTTGCTTTCAAAGTGATATGTAATTGATCACATTTATGCAACCTTCCTGTTTTGCTCCCATGCTTAAACTAGCAAATATCTGCTGTTTATGGAACAAAACAAAAAATGAACAGAAACTGTACTTTCAAATATGTAATATTTCACCATTTACCCATATATATTTGCTGGAATTTGTGATATCCTACAACCTTGATCCCAAACCCCCAGGTATGATGGGTTCTGGTCCCTGGCCTGTAGGAAATGGGCCACACACGCAAGAGATGAGTGGCAGCTACCTAAGAAGTAAAGATGCTTCTGTATTTGCAGCTGCTCCCTCATAACTCACCCATGCATCACCACATAAGCTCCACCTCTTGTCGGATGAGGCAGCAGCGTTAGATTCTCATAGGAGCAGGAACCCTGCTTGTAAACTGAGCCATGCGAGGGTTCTAGGGTGTGTGGCTCCTTAAGAGAATCGAATGCTGGTGATCTGAGTTGTGGAGCTGAGGCGGTGATACTAACACTGGGGAGCCAGCTGCAAACACAAGTTACGCATTACAGAGAGATTTGACTGCACCAATAAATGAGATGCGTTTGAATCATCCCAAAACCATTCTTCCACCCCCAGTGCGTGGAAAAATTGTCTTCCATGAAACCCGCCCTGGTACAAAAGGTTGGGGACCATTGCCCTCCCATAAAAGATTTAAATCATTTTCATTTACCCAGTAAAGTGTTTATGTGGCACATAATTAAGATCTTTATTTTCTCCTTGTCCTTTCTTTCTTAATCGTTTCTATATACTTATGATCCTTCCTTTATTACCTCTTATACCCTCATACCACTTACTAAAATCATGTAAAATCTTTTGCAGTGATCATTCTCTAGACTTTCTTTCAAGCATTTGTTCAACTTCAGTTTTTTATTAATAAAATTTTAAATTATATTTGTCAAATATGTGTATAAGCAACTTATATTCAATAAATGCCCTTATTCAATTGATTATATATCCATTTATGCCAATAAGATCCATTTATGCCAATGGATTATATATCCATTTATGCCAATAAGATTTTAAATATGAAAAACAAAACTAAACCATCGTAGCAACAAAACTCTTTTACAATAAGATACAAAAGAAACAAAATAATCACCAAGTATGTAACAAGGTAATTACCAACTCTTGATTGATTTATAATAGGTCATAGATGAGAATGCAGAACCCTCTCACAAGTCCTAAAGAAAGATCACTTTTTTCTCTTTTCATTAATTATACTACTAGAGTAGAAAGAGAAAGAAGAAAAAGTAATTCTTAGTCAGATGTTTTTTCATTTCTTTCTAATATTTTCATTAAGGTTTCTGTAGGTGAGATAGATGAAGCTAATAATCCCAAAGTGTTTTGTGATCATCTGTAGATGGTTTTTCCCAATGTACCATTTATTTTTTTATTAACATTGATGATGATATTTGCACTATCCTTTTTGACTCTTTTTTTTTTTTTGGTCTAAGTTTTAATACTGTAAGGGTGTGTTAGAGTATTACTAGAATATGAATTGCGAATGAGTTTGTGCACTTTTTTTATCTTTATCACAAGGTGAATTTGGTGAAGTTTGTAGTGGACGTTTAAAATTACCAGGAAAAAGAGAATTACCCGTGGCTATCAAAACCCTTAAAGTAGGCTATACTGAAAAGCAACGCAGAGATTTCCTGGGTGAAGCAAGTATCATGGGACAGTTTGATCATCCTAACATAATCCATTTAGAAGGTGTTGTGACCAAAAGTAAGTACAATGACATATTGTGCATGTATGTGGGCATATCATGAATATTTGTCTAGACTATTAACTTTAGCTTAGAGAATCTAACCATTGTAATAAATTATATGAATTCAGTACCAGAAAAAAAATGTATCCAGATAAAAGAAGCAGTAAAATTATCAACATTTTTGTTTCTATTGGCTCTTTCACTTTTTATCATAATGAAATATTAACTTCAAAGTTTTGATCGAAGTATTGCAGTTTAACATTTAATAGAATTATTATAATGATAGTAATACCACCTTTTAAGCAGTTCTTTATAGCTATATGCACTTTCTTTAATTTTTCAAAGATATTTTAACAGTGCTATAGAAAGTAATAACCACAGAAGACAGGAAAAGTTCCTTGCAACTAATTTTTTGATGTTAAAACAAATCTAACATTTACTCAGAAATATCTAGAATTTCACATCTCTTTTAAATTTGTGTTAGTGTCTTGTAAATGTGTTTGTATGGTGAGCCTCCCATAAAAGGATTTTAAATCATTTTCATTTACCCAGTAAAGTGTTTATGTGGTGCATAATTAAAATCTTTATTTTCTTTTTGTCCTTTCTTTTCTTAATCATTTCTATATATTCTGATTCCTTCCTTTATTATCTCTTATACCCTACATACCACTTACTAAAATCATGTAAAAACTTTTGCTGTGATCATTTTCTAGACTTTCTTTCAAGCATTTGTTCAACTTCAGTTTTTATTAATAAAATTTTGTTATATTTGTCAAATATGTGTATAAGCAACTTGTATTCAACATATGCCCTTATTCAATTGATTGTATATCCATTTATGCCAATAAGATTTTAAATATGAAAAACGAAACTAAACCATCATAGCAACAAAACTATTTTACAATAGGATACAAAAGAAACAAAATAATTACCAAGTATGTAACAAGGTAATTACCAACTCATGATTCATTTACAATAGGTCATAGATGAGAATGCAGAACCCTCTCACAAGTCCTAGAGAAAGATCACTCCAAAAAGCATTATGTGGATAATTGATTGAAATTTTGACTCAGCCTGTATTTCTGGGAGATTGTTTTTCATATATCTCAAAGAGAAACACATCTCTAGTGAGGATGCTCATTGAGGAATACACAAAGGAATAAAATAACTTGCAGACTTGTTATCCTAGGTATGTTTCTTCCTCCAGTTGAGTACATGTCCGTAGATTATTCTTCCATTGATGGCAACCCAGAGAGGGCATTGCTGAAGCAAAAAAGGCATTCTGAGGTCTTATCAGAACAACAAAAAAAAATAAGTTGCACAGGTGAGAGTCAGGGACAAGATAGAGGGAGGCAGAAAAAGTGGAGGAAAACCTATTTTTGAAAAGAATAAAACAAATAAAAATGTTTTCAAAAATTACATCCTTTGGTGAATGTGTGAAATAACTGAATATTTGAAATTGAGAGAATATGATGTGAAAATTATGGGTTAAAAGTACAATAAAATAAAACAGAATTTGAATGTGATTGTGTTCTAGCTAAGTGGAAGGGCTTTTAAAGGACATTTGTGGTAGCATGTGGTTCTAGATACTGTGGGAAAAATAATCATAATGACAAAGATTAAGTAAAATGATTTTCTATGCAGAAATAGTATGATCTAGTGTAAAACATTGCTCTTAATAATACTATAGTAATACTAGTAGGCAAATATTTGATGAATTCCATGTCTTAGTCTTATCTTTCACGTGGCTACAAATTTACCTTATGAAAATAAACTCTCACTATGAGTCCCCATTAGTGTTAGGTAAGTGTGAAGTTCTATAGGTAGCCAGTCTACTCTCTGTAATGAGTTAATATACAATTACAGAACAGCGCCAGATGCCAGATTGCTGTTATTATTAATAAAAGATCATGTTTGCAAACTGTTCAAGAGCATAGACTATGGATCTAGTGACTGGATTTTATTTTGATTCCGCCATAAATTACTATGTACTTTGTACAACTTAGTTAACAATTAAACAATTCAAAACCTTCACTTGTGTATCAATGATATGTAGTAAGGATACCTCAGAGCATTGTGAAGATGATGTGAATATAACTAACTAAGTTTAGAATAGGCATGACAGAGAGTAAGTACTTAACAAATATATTACTTTTTCATTATCCATCTTCCTATGCCTGAACTCTTCCATATGCTTTTATTCTTAGTCCATTTTAACTTCACATTTTGCACTGGCTACATTTGCCTCTTTTCTGAAACTTACAGCCTTGTGTTCACAACTTTTCAAGTTCTTCAAAACTCAACTCGAAATCCATAAAACCATGAAACAATCTCTCATCACTTTGCCTGGACTTATCTCTCCTCTTGAAACTGTGCTATGTGAAAATTTTGTAAGAGTCTATAATGTTTCTTCATTTGATCCAAAAGTTTCATTCAGATCTTCCACTTAATTTGTCTCTTTTGCATATATTTTCAGCCCTAGCAAAAATAAATAAATAAATTACGTTCCTTGAAAACATAGTTCATATCCTAAATATTTACGTAAACATATTGTATCTAAACATATGCCAATCCATGAACACCTTACTTAAACACTTCAGTTTCAATGTCACATAAAAAGAGGAAAAATACTTTAAAAGATTGTCATGTCAATTAAAATATGTTTGTATGTGTGTACATGTGAGTGGCTTGTGTGCAAGTTAACAAATTGCAGGTAATTATATTAAGTATTTATTTTTACTAAGTAAATGTATCATATAGTAGTAAGACAATACTCAAATTATTAGAACTAATATTTACTACATTTATATACTGTTGATTTATTATAGAACTTTGTTTTATTTGCATGAGTTCAGACTGAGATAAACAAAGACAATTCTTTATACTAATACAACTAAATTCCATATATTTTATATGCATTGGAAACCTTTCTTTTGGAAGGTATTTTCAGTGTCAACAAAAGATCATATTGAGAGTCTATGACTTCTAGTCTAACAAAAGGTACTGTGATTGGGAAGATAGTTTTAAGTTTCCAATATCCTAATCAATATTCTGTTTGATGATGAGCTCACCACGAGGCTACATATTAATATATATGTAAACAATAATGTAAATATTTTAAAATATTCATTGGTTTTTACTTTTTCATTCTGTATGAACTAAACTACATTTGCCCTTTATAAATATAGCTCTTGATGTTCAACTTAGGAAGTCTTCAACTTGTTTTTAATTTACATGTTGCACACTCACTTTATTGTGTCCTTAATTTCATGCTTTCTGATCTGATGCTAATTTTATTCAGCAATTATTCTCACCTGCAGCACACAGATAATGAGACATAAGTGCAACTAAATCTGTGATTTTCTGATTGAGGCTGAGGTGGGGAGTTTGAAGTAGCACTCCTATGTTGTGTCATTGTGAGCCTTCATCTTCTGCCTTATGTGCCAGAAGTTTCAACCCCCACTCAAATTCCTTCTGTGATTTGTTGTGAAACAGAACACATCTTACACACACACATATATAGGTATCTACACACACACACACACATATAATGTAGAACAGTTGCCAAAACATATATTCTAGAGAGCTTCCATGCAAATGACATAAGAAACCTGCAGGTCTTGGCTTAATTGACTCATTTGCAATGCAAGACACTTTAGTGTAATAGACACAGTGCCAGCTTTTACTATTTAATGAGATTCAGGAAAAAGATAAAAAGGAGAAAAAAGTTATAATTTTCCCATTGCAGCATCCTTAGTTCTTTAAGATTTTTTTTCCACCAGTGAAAAATTATTATCTAAACTGACTAAAGGAGTATTTCTAGTGAGTCTTACAACTTTTATAGCTTATTTCTTAATCTAAGAATCATGTGTGAAAAAGCTTAGTTCTCTGTAAAATTAATAAGTTAAACAAAATATTAGAATAAAAAGAAATCTCTCTCTTTTCTGTTTAAGGAGCTGCACAGAAGATGACAAAGACTGCTTAGTTGTCAGACAGTTTTAACTTATAAAATTTATAATTATATTAAATATATGTTTCATTCTATCTTATAAGTATTTTATAGGCTCTAATATACATTAACTAGAGCTATTTCAACAGCCTTCAAACTAGCCTTCCGATTTTGCATTTTCCACCTTAAGTTCACTTTACACACTGCTTCAGATAGATTTTGCTAAGTCTCTGCTTTCCTGTCACATTTCATCACCAAACAAGCAAACAAATGACCACCATGCACATATCTGGATACTTAACCTGATACAATTTGGCCACATTTCCATGTTCCACTATTTCTTTCTGGAACATTACCATATTTTTGTTCTGCCCTTTTGAGATACTTCACCTCAGCCTAGAATGTCCTCTCCATTTCTTACTTGACCTTCATGTTATTCAAATGTGACCTTTCATTAGATCAGCATCATTTGTCTTTATTTTTCTTCGTCCTGATTGTCTACCTGCTATGATAGGCCTCAATAATGGTGAACAGCTGAGTAGAGGAAAGCTTCCAGTTCTAAATAGGATACAAGCTACAGAATAGAAGCTTCCAAAGGAAGTTTTTGTTTTGCTCACTTGTGTTTCCCTAGATCCCATCATGTGTACATTTTATATATTTGTTGAATGAATGAATTGTCAGCCAGAGGCAATTGTCTAAATGCCAGTGCATTCTATGCGGTTTTCATGCATTCTTTATATCATAGTTATATCTGTACATGTTTATTACCCTTAATAGGCATGAGTTTCCTGAAATTAACACAGGTTAATAATTCCCTTTGTTCTATCTGAGGGCCAGACCACATTAGGTAAATTTTAAAAGACATAATAAATTAAAATAGTGAATGAATAAATTGCAGTTACTGAAAATTTTAAACTAGTTAGAATTATATAGTTTTTATTTTTATTTAAAATTTATTCTAAAATCATGCTTTTTAATAATAAAAGTAAAATTCATGGGAATTTGCCTACGAATTGCCTCATGAATCTTTTACAGAAACTTGCATATATCAGTTATTGCTACTGCTAG